TTTGATTAGTCTGTAATCACTTTAAAGTTATAAGTGGACTACAGTATTGTTGAAGCAACAGTAGAAGCAGGTGTCGTAAAAATTAAGTAATACAGTATGATTTGCACAAGGTCACTCACCTTTCAACTGACAGCTCCTTTTGATTCATCTGTCCAATTCCAGAGCTTGTGCTTGTATCCAATATTGCCTCTTGTGACAGGTTTTCATCTGCAGCATTAGTCATCCCTGCATTTTCACTGTCTCAAAGTTTACAGAGTACTTTCCTATTACTACCTCATTCAACTGCCCAATAATAGGAACATAATTTTTCTGATGAAATTAAAGCTCAGAGAGGTTCAATGATTTTTCCCAAGTTCACACTGCTACAAAGCAGATAATGTGGGATTAGAATCCAGGTCTTGTGACTCGTATTTCACTTTTTCCTTTCATATATTTTATTTATTCAATATATTTATTATTTACAACATGCTACATGGGAGAAAGCCTAACAGTATTCCACACTGTATTAAAATATTCAACATTTGTCAGTTATTGATTTCTCCTACCCCTACTAATGAAAGAAACGTTCAATTTGGCTTTAGAAAATTTAATTTCTAATGCTAAAGATAGCATCCAACTTTCCTTGGCTATTTATAAATACATGCTACTGGTCGCTGAGAAGACTGGCTAAGATGTAAACAGAGGGACAAAGATGGAATCCATCACCACTTTTGAAAAAGCTGCCCTAATCACCTTTGGGCCACATAGGTCAGTAAAAATCACATTTGAACAAGAGATGGCAAGTCTTTAAGGTACTGTCAGTGAAATGTCAACTCATTCAGTGTTTATTAAATACATCACAGCAACACTAAACCCTAACTCTGGGACGAAGTTCCCCAAGAACAGAAATGATAAAAGAAATGCTTAAAGATTCAGTTGTTGCAGACAGCAGTTAATGTACACTACCTGTTTCAACATACCCCTGATTTACACTTAGAAGAAAATATGATATCTACTATATAAATCTGATGAACACCTTTAGTTTTCTGAGATGCAAGCACATGAATGTGTGTCATGAAGGGTGCAATAAGTCTACATCTACACAATGAGTAGCGCATGTAAATTCAGGGTCTGACACTGCAAGTACCTACCAAATCCCTCAACAGAAACCTGATTTTCAAGTGGAAAAGCTAAATCAAAATCATCACCTGTAACATCTCAGAAATACATGCCAAAAATGTGTCTATACTTATCACTGAAATAATAGTCATCATTTATTGAAGACCAGACCATTATACCTATCCTCTTACCAAATCAGGTCAGCGTCTCAGCAAGACAGACATGAAATTACTCTTACAATAGAAAAGATACTGAGGTTCAGAGGTTAGCTGGCCTGGGCTGGTAAGTAACCAGGATTTCACGCTACGCAGACCTAATGGAAATTTTTTTCCCCTCAATGTATCATATAGCCTTGCTATGGCAACATTAGTTTCAGACCATCTTTATGTTTAAGAAAGTCTGTCTCAAATCTCATCTAAGACCATATTTATGTTTAATAAAGTCTGTTTTAAATCTCATCTACTGGAAATTAAGTTGTATGACAAATCATTATAATAGTGCACAGGATAAAAATCCTCTTTCAGTTACTGTGTGACCTTGTGCAAGTCACTCTAGTTTCCTTATTTGTAAATAAAAAAAGGTTAATAACCCAGGGGTAGTATGAGGATTAAATGAGACAAGACCTGTAAAAGCATTGGAGACAGTACCTGGCAGTTAGTATTTAACCAATTTTAACTATACTCAAATCATCATCATTATTATATCTTCTTTTATACTAGGAAAATGAGAATGTTCTGTAGAAGGGCCTTTCTTTCCAAATGTTACACAAAACAAGACCTACAAGACTAGGTTTCTAGAATTCTTTTTCTCACAGGATATCCTCTGGCCTATACTCTTTCAGGCCATCCCAGTATACCGGGTTACCTGAGCTTCTGGAGGATTCTGAGTGTCAGTGAATGTGTGTGGGTGGGAAGCTGTGTATGAAGGGTAGAGCTGGGTTAGGGTGATAAAGGATACAGAACTAGCACATAGCTGCAATACTGGCACTCACAGATATCTACACAGCCCCCAAATTCCAGGAGAGCAATGGCAGCATATGAAGCTATCACCAATGCCTTCCTAAGCTTCCCCTGTGCTGTACTGCAATTTAGGTTGCTTCTTAAGTGAACAGAGTATCAGAAAAAGCAGGCAGTTTTCCAGTTCAATTAGGCATATCTATAATAGGAACTAAAAGTTATTGAGCTCCAACTTTATAAGAAATATGAAAAAAAGAAATATGCAGGACTTTCATTTTTTTGTAATGGGGATCGAAATCGACCTTGTGCTTGCAAGGCAGGTGCAGTGCCACTGTGCTAAATCCCCAGCCCTAAATGTTTGAAAGTTGAATATAGATTTTCCCAAATAGGATCTAGTCCCCCCGTTGTGCCAAACATGACAGGTGCTATAGTTTATATTTAAAACGTCCCCCCGAATTCTCATGTCTGTGTACAATGATTGAATCAGAAGGCACTATACTCATCACTGGACTCAGTATTGTGACTTCTGAAGCTGAAAGCACTATTAGGAGGTGGAGCTGGGTGGCATGACCTGGGAGGGTGTATTCTTATTCCTGTTTTTTTTCCTTCTCTCTCTTCTTTCTGGCTGCAATAAAGTTCAACAGCCTTCCTCCACCATGTTCTTCTACCATACCATGCCATTTCTTCAGTGAAGTCAGGCAATCTTGGACTGAAACCATGAGTAAAATAAATCTCTCTGCCATTAAGTTCTAGGTGTTGGATATTTTGCTCCAGGGATAGAAATGTGGCTAAGACAACTGGACTTAATGCAGTTTTATGGAAAAAGGATAAGAGCTTGGGGAAAACTGAGTAACAGCCACAGAGATGATGGAAGACAGATGTCATGGTTCACGATCCATTTGTAGGTTCCAGGTTATAAAAGCTAGAGGTAAAGCACTCTTTAAAAATTTAATTCTTATAAACATTAAAATTTCATTTTCCCAAGACTGAAAAACTATGTCCAAAAGCTAACTATGGTTAGCTGAGAGAATATCATCTTCCTGATACTTTGCATTTCTAGTTGGTATCATACCTTTTATTTAAAACATCTCAGTTTTTTCTCTATTTCAATTCCCCTGCTTAAGACAGCTGTCATTCTAAATACTTTGAAGAAATTTCAAATAGATTCTGACCATTAAACTGTTACAGAATGTTTACCGCATGAAGCACCAATAAACACTAGATATATAAAAGCAAAATGAGAGAATTCTTGCCTTCAAGAAGTTCACAATCCAATGGGATAGACAAAATTGCCAACAGATTAAGGACAGTTTGATAGAGTAAGCAGACAATGGAGCTAAGAGAAAGGAAGCAGGATGACAGTTGAGGCTGGAAAAGTTACTTACATGTCACACAGAATTACACATGCAGCAGAGTTACAATGAGAGATACATGAATATATCTGTCTTAGAGATGGATTACAGGAGTGAAAATTAGGGATCAGATCACTAGAAAGAGTTTTCAACTACCAAAGGTAGAATACTGTCCTGGTCAAGCCATTATTAAACAATAACAATATGCCAGGTCCCCGATCAGGCTGACTAAAACAAATATGAGAAGGTTTTGGTTTTTAACAGCTCAGACTGGGGCGTTGAGGACACAGGTAATTCAGCAGTGATAGTGAGGGTTAGAAATAGAATCAGAATAGAGATGAAGAGAAGGAATGGTCTATGTTTTGAAAGGCATATGCAAGTGTGTTTGAGTTAGTTAATCTGTGAGAAAAATTCAACAGAGCTCATCTTTAGATCTTAAAAAGATAGTCCTTTGGAACTCGAGAAGCTGGAAAACCTTAATAGCCTGTTAGCATTAGATAAAAGCTGTGTATATGGACAAACCAATGATAAATGCTGCTGAAAACGGGTATAACTCAGTATTTAACTCGGAAACCTATGAAAGCTTTCTCTGGTAGGGGTATTGAAAATAATTCCAGAGTAGGGTGTTCCACTGATAGGACTTCGGAAGAAACTACACTTGATGTCTTGAGCTGCTATGATACAAACTTTGGACCAAAAGTCAACTTACCTGTGAAGGCCGGAGCAAACAGGGCAAAACGACTCAACAAGACTGAGAACCCAATTTAAGCCACAAATCATAACCATCAGAGAAAGAGAACCAACTGTGCTAAATTACACATCAAGGCGAAAGAGGGGTGGGCCTGGGAAAGACTCAAACTAAGAGTCCCCCAGGAAATCTGCCTGCGGCTTTCAAAGGTTGATTTTTGATCCCTACTACGGATTGGAGGACAACATGAAAGTCAGGAAAGGGCAAAGCAGCTGATTTTCCTAACTCCCTTTAAATGTTCTCTGAACTCACGCGTCTACATTATCACTCCCCCCGCCCCCCCCCAACCCAGGGCCTAAGATCTCCCAGACTCCACATTCAATTCCGGAGAAGGCACAGGGCAGTCAACCGGCCACGCGGTGGCTGTGGGACGCACACACTTTCCCACTGGAGACCTCTCCGTCCAGCAAAGGGCATTTACATGGTGGAGCGTAGTGACCAATCTGCTAATGCCAATCCGCCCCAAACCACACAAAACACAAGTCTGAGACCAAACTCAGCAAACCGAGACGGGGTCATGGTATGGGAGGGGGAAAGAAAAATCAAAAGACCCGCCGACCCCAGTTATTACCACACAACATGCAAAGCGGGGCGCTCCAAAGGGAAAGACAAACGCCCAAGGAGCTGCCGGGCCGCTGGGAGGCTGCTCCGTCCCCCTTCGCTTCCCGGCCCGCCGGCCAGGCAGCCGCCCCTGCCCCGCCTGCCGCGCCGCGTCCCGCCCGCCATCCCCGGGCGCCCATGTGGCCCCAGAGCCCAGGGCTCCCAGGGTCAGACCGGCGGCGAGCTGCACTCGGGGCATGGAGAAAAGAAGACAAATGACCCACACCTTCGCCGCCCCGTACTCACATTCATAAGCAACACCCAAGACCCCGCTACGCCTTCGGTCACCCTCTTCCTCCATTGCGGCAAGAGGCCCCTGGGTCTTGGGAGCAGCCACGACTCCTCCGAGCGGAAAAGGGAGGTCGCGGGGTGGGGCGGGGCAGGGGCGAGTGCGGACCATTAGAAACGTGACTGGGCGGGAGCTCCTCCCCGAAAGGGAGTTTCTTCCTCGCCTGCACCGTGCCGTCACGATCTGGGCCAATAGGACGCGGCGAGCGCAGGCCGACCCCGCCTCTTGCCGCTCCTTCCACGCCCCCTTCCGGGACGGAGAGGCGGAGAACTACGATTCCCAGCGTGCCGCGGGCGCTGTGGGAAGGGAGCGCTGAAAGAAGCGCTGACGGGCGGGGGTGCGCCCGAGGGTGCCCCGGCGTGTTCGCTTAGTTCAGTGAATCAGAACAATGACTGCGCCGCCGGGTCCCCGGCTGCGCGGCGGAGGACTGTGAGCAGCGGCGGCGGACGGCGCAGCCTCGGTGGCACGGTGTCACCGCCAGGCTCGCGAGCGTCCAGCGCGGACCTGGTGCAGCGCCCGCCACCCGCGCGCGGCCGCCGGGTTCGGGCGCCGCTCCGCTCCTCGGGAGCCGCGCATTGTTGTGAGCCACACCGAGGGGCGCGGGGATCGCCGAGCCTGGACACCCCGGCGCTCCGTCAGCCATGTGGATACCTACGGAGCTCGAGAAATACGGCGTGGGTGAGTCTCGGCGGGGCGAACTTTATTCCGCGCTGGCCGAGCGGGTGCGCGTTCCGCGTCCCGGCCCCGCGCCCCTCTCGCTCGCTGCGCGGCTGCAAATGCGCGGCGGCCCCTGCGGGGCTGTGTCCCCCTCTTGCCCCTCGGCGCGCCCAGAACCGGCGCCTGGAGCGCGGGGACGGCTCGGGGCACCGGCCCGCTCGGGCTCGGCCGGCGGAGTTTGGAGCGGCGGCGGCGGCGGGAGTGCGGTGTCAAGTTGGAAGGGGAGCCGAGCGGGCTCCTCTCCCCGCATCCGCTGCCTGCCCAGAGCGGCGGGGAGACCCTGTGAGCTGCGGTGATTTCGCGGTGTGGCGAGAGACCGCAATCCGCTGTCCCCGACACCCCCACACCTTTGAGGGGCGCAGAATCCCGCTGGCCGGCTGGGGTCGTCCTTTCCAGAGTGCGGAATGGGGCCGAGCCCCTTGGACGGGCGAGCTGGGCTCCAGCCGCCTCCCTCCCTCGCTTCCCGGGGCTCCGGGGGGTGTGCGGGGGGCAGGGGCGCAGGCGTTTCAACATCTGCGCTGCGCCGCTCTTTGGTCTTTGGAGGGGAACCGATATTTCAGGGATGTTTTTACTTGTGGCCATCCCCGCGAGCAGGGGTGAGCGCGGCGGGGGCGGAGTGCAGGACGGCAGTGCGAGCGGCGGTGGCAGGAGGGTGGAAGGCTTGGGTCTTCAGCCGAGGGACAGCTTGCAGGAACCCACTACCCTTCCACTGGTGTTTGGAGAAAAAGGAACAGGCTAGCGCTAGCTGTTCTGTGCAAAGGTGAACAACAAAGGACATTAATGTTGAGTGATGAATACAGGAGTCTCCTTTCTTTCCCTCCTCCCTTTTCAGGCGGATTACAGTTCCCGTTTTTGTTGTTTGATTTCAGCTGGGTCGCCCCTTGACAGTTACTCCTTTTAGGGTTGAGATTATTAAGAAGCCAGGCTCTCTGACAAGCCTGAAGCGCCAAATGCAATTACGACCTCCCAGAAGGTCTAACAGGGAGAAAGCATTATGGATTTTACTAACAATCTTTATTTCCAGTAATGCCCTGTCCTACCGACTGGCGCACTTGTTTTTACTGGGGACAGAGCTAGTGATTTAGATGATGTGAAGAGAGCTGCTTATATTCCCAGTTCATTTTCTTGCAATTTAAAAAAATCTGGAAAGCCTTTCCAGGTGGTCAGAGTCACAGGGATTTTATTTTCCCCCAACTTCTCCTGGGAATGGGACTTTGGAGTCCACTGAAAGGACTGCATGATTAAACAGAGTCATCCCCTTGTTTTACATTAGCTTCCATTCTGGACTGTGACTGCTGGTTAGCAAGACAATAGTTTGTCGGGAGCCACCTTTGAGAAAGGTTTCCACCTTTCCATCTTTTCATACTGCAAGGGGAGCCCTTGCCCGGCGCTCCACTGGGAAAGAGTGCTTCTTATTCTTCTATTTTGGAGGCCTGTGTTAACCCTTGCGAGGGAAAGACTTTGCCTCCACTCAGCTAGCGAGGAAGAGAGCATCGCTTCCTAACTGGCCTCAAACTCAGTGCAGTGCCCACCCAGGGCGACACCGCTGTCCCGCTGGAGTCAAGTTTCCCTCCTTCCAAGTGTTACATTATACAGGTTATGAGTGGGATTTATTTTCTTGATTTCTTTTTGTGCTAGATCACAGCCGGGGTGCTGGTATAGGTTAGTGCTTCTGCATTTCTTGACAAGCTGTGGGCAGAGACTTAAAAAAACCACTCTGGAATTTCCTGGAATGGCAAACCGGATATTATCAGTCAAATGTTTGGGGCTGCAGCAAACACCTCGGTTTGGAGTGGTTGTGATTTGGTTGCAGAGTAAGGGAGGCAGAAGGGTGTGCAGTTGAGTGAGATAGTGTGAGAGCTTGGAGGGGTCTCCTACACCAGATTACTGCTGCTGCGCTCACTTATGCAATATAACATATACAGGAATGTTAATGATCTTTTATTATTAAGGTTTGAGCATTTGGTTTGTGGAATGCTTAGCTGTTTTTTAGAATCCATCTGTTAGGCGTGTGTGTGTGTGTGTGTGTGTGTGTGTGGTGAAAATTTTGCTAGGATACTTACATGTGGACTTTTTCTCACTTTAGAGAGTACTATTTGTAGCTGCTTAGACTGCAAGTTATTTTTTTGAAAAAACCTTGGTGTGTATGTTTCTCTCATTTAGTTCTTATAAATATCAAAGAAATATTTTTGGGGCACAGATGTTTGGCTAATATCACGTATACATAGAAGTAATTCAGTTTTTTCATTCTTTGACATAAATTATTCTTTGTAACTTAGAATACCTGAAGATGCAATATGTATATGTACCAATTCCCCATGGTCAATGTGTTTATTATGTATTGTAAATATATACTAATAAAAAAGAGAAAAAAGAATCCTTGAAGTTTCTGTGTAAATTTTATGTTTTTGCAGTTGTCTGTCTTTCTTTCTTTCCTTTCCTTTTTTTTTTTAATTGCAGTACTGGGGACTTTTACACTGAGCTACATCTCCAGCCTCCCCCCCCCCCCACCTCCCTTAAAATTTTTAAAATTTTGAGAAAAGGTCTCCAAGTTGTTGAGTTGCTCAGGCTAGGTCACCACTCCATGCAGTGCATTCCTTATTTACCATTTTTAATGTTTATTACATTTCAAGCAATATACATGTTGCTTAAAATTTGTACTTACAGGGCCGGGGATATAGCTCAGTGGCACTGCACCTGCCAGGCGAGTGCAAAATCCTGAGTTAGATCCCTGGTACAGGAAAAATGAAAAAGAAAAACAGAATTCATACTTATGGAGAGAGATTCATTTTCAATCCTGATACATGGGCAATTGGTAAATGATCTTCAAACAGTGTATACTCAGTCACATTCCTGAGTGGTCCTGATTTCAAGGAAAGGTGTAGTGATAAAGCCATAGTCCTGAGGGTAGGGAACCTTCTCATATTAAAAACATCCTAATAGGGATGAGGGAGAGCTGGTGGATAGAGCACTTGCCTAATATGTGAGGTCCTGCATTCCATCCCCCTACCACCAAAATAAAATCACAACAAAACATACTGGTAAGCACAACACTAGGAATATTTATCTCAAGCAATTCTGATTGGTTCCTGCTCCTGGTCTAGACACTGCTGCCATCTGTGAGACCTTAGGTAGGTCACATAAACCTTTCTGAGTCCTAGCCTTTAGGTCATGTGCTAAGGTTCTCCACAGTACTAATTCTGTAAAGTTCTTCCAACCTGATGTGTCCTTTGGTCAGACAGCATCCCACTGTGTAGAGATTGATATGAGAGAGACACTTTTGTCTTAACACATTGCACATAGTTTCAAAGATCAGAGGTAAGCAGAAACCACCTGGCGAGCTGCCAGAACTGGGGTACTGGTTGCTCACTTTTTTCAGTCTGTTTGATTCTCACTCCAATAGGAGCTCCATGGGCAGTGACTAAAGTGTTCTTGATCTGCTCACAGATTTCCTCATAGTCACCATGTGCCTCTTGCGTGTCATCATCTACCATGTACTCCCCTTCTTAAAGTGCTGGGAATTATGCACAGAGGAAGTTAAAGCCACTGCAGCTGTTTGTGTTCCCTTGTCCAGCAGGGATTCATTAATGCACAGCATTCTCAGGTGAGCCTCTGAGTCTTCCTGACCTGCAGCTGCAGCTTCTCAAAGGTCCTAGGAAATCCAGGAAAAAAGTTCATCAACCTCATGAGAAGCAGAACTGAGATCAAGCTGATGTGAGGGACAAGAATGTCATTTAAAAAATAAGGTATTAACGTCCCAATATCACTGAGTCCTCATAAATATTCCTATCTTGTATTTCTCTGGAAGTGGATTTTTTAACTCATGCAAGTGGGATCCACATTCATTTCTAAAACTGCTCTAGGGACAGAAGTGCCTCCTCTTTTTAGGCTATTTAGAGTCTCTTTTCAGAAGGCTGCTTTAACAGTGGCTCATGTGGAAGAGTTTGGAGAGTAAGTACTTTTACTCTTAGCTTTTTTCAGTTTCTTAGCTAACTGTTTATTTAAAGTATTTCTTATTTGTGGTACCATGTTATACCTAGATAACAAGTAAGCCTAAATAATGATGTCCTGGTTGGGATTGTTTGTGACATTGAAAGCCTGACACACAGAATTCTGAACTTTAAGAGGACTGGTTTATATTTCCAAGTCAAGTACCATTGAAAAGTTGTGCAGATGTTAGGGTGGGACCTCCTGTGGGAATAGCCTATAAAAGTATTTCCCTTTTTTCCCTAACTAGTGATTCTTTTATAAGGTCCCCATGGTAACATAGAGATGCTGCCATTCCTCCACCTCCCAGGCTGTTTATGTTAGGTACCACAAAGGAGATTATAAGATTTCAAGAAATTTAACTTTTCCCATCTCTAGCTGCACT